TTATTAAGCCCAATTTGATCTGGGCCCGAGGTGGGCTTAATAGCCGGCGACTGCTGTAGTACATTTCCGACAGTGTATTAATCAAATGGCTGTCGGCAGCATAGTTTTTATCATTTCTATGAACTCACACAGATATGTGTATCATGTACAATTCGACTACAGGGAAGTCATGCAAAAGTCATGCCGAAATTGGACTTGGTAGTTTGGCATAAATTTGTTCAAAGTATTTTGATCTAATGAGTGAATGTAATCCTGAGAAAGCCATTGATTTTGGCGAAATCGGACGTAGCCTGATATCGAAAAAATTTCCTGTGCTGTTACTTACTACGACAGAATCAACCCCATTATTTATATGTGCTATACTATGGGAGATGACCAAAATAAGTAAAAAAACGTTTAAAATACATCCCTTCCAGAACTGGAAAAGCTAGGTAGATGAAGCCAACGTTAAGGAATCGCGTTATTTTCAGAACTAAGGAACGATTTCTGTTCTAAAATTTTTTTTGCTAAACTATGAAGTTCTTTGCTGCATAATGAAGCAAAAAAAAGTTTTGATCACATTTTGTTTTACTGCATCAAGTATTTCAGACGAAACCAAAACTGGCCACATATTATCGTGAAGGTGAAAGTAAAGGCAGATCCTATTAAATCTAAACCGCGTAGAAATATACTATTTTGTACACTATAATTTCCGCTTGTGTATAATTTAGAAATGGAACAGACAGGAGATTAACAATTATACCAAAAGTTTAGTATATATTCGGCAACTTTTTTGCATTCGCAAACTTAGAAGAGAGCCTGAGCGTAATCAACTATGCTGGAAAATACTCCACTATAAAGTGAAAAGTAAATCCCTTCACTTTTAGCCGAATTATATCATTAATATCAGGTAAATTAATACAAACTTGTCAAAATTCTCCATTGCCACTTTGTCATTACCTTGGAAAAAAGATAACATGCCCAGATATTCGTCAGCTGAATATCTGATTAAAGTGCATCTAAAAGACGTAATTTATTATATAATCTTTTTACTAATCTTACGCAGAAGAATATCAGGCATCTCTTGCGGACGCTCTTTTTGCTCGATAATGTGTTTTGGTAATTTGGGCAGTATATAAATATGGTCCCCGTGGCCATCTTCATAAGAACTAACATCCAAAATATCCCTTTTTTCGGTATTAAATGCTTTTAATAGATATAGACGTCGAACAGAATCTCGATTTATGGGCAAAAGTTTGAAAACACTTGAAAATATGCCGAATCGAAAACTAATTGTAATTCAATCCACAGCGGGGGGGCATACCTTGGGCCAGATGTCTAGATCCAAGCGATGCAGCCGTTGCTTCATGCTAGCTTGTGACCAATGGCAGGGTGGGGGAGATGTCGGAACCTCACGATCCGAACTTTCAGCGAGTGCAACCGTATCAGCTGGCTGGACACGGTCGGCAAGAGTGGTCGGAGCAGACGATGCTCCTTTCTCCTCCTCCTCCTTCGCGTGGCC